AAGAAACCATGATAAGAATAAATGAAAGTGTGGTTGCCATATAACTTTACTTACTTGGAGATGAAAATTATTCTTGGGTAATCGATATCCCATAGTATCAAAAATATCAAAATATTTCTTTTGAAACTTGTATGTAACATGAGGGGAAGGCTTGTTTGTTTGTGTTTTCAGTCCTGCCCAGCACCCCCCCAGCTGTTTAGTCCCTAAGAAAATGACACAGAGGACTCCGTAAGTTATAAAGCTGATTGGCCCACTAGGTCTGGCTTCTTACTGGCTAACTCTCACATCTTAATTAACCCATTTTTCTGATCTATTTTAGCCATGAGGCTCTGTACCTTTTCCAGTGGGGCAGCTCACATCCGGCTGCTTAGGTGATCTGGGCAGGAGTGGGAGGAATCAACTTCCTCCTCCCCAGAATTCTCCTGCTCTCCTTGCATCATTTCCACTTCCTGTCTGGTTTTCCCACCTACACCTCCTGCCTAGCCAATCAGTGTTTATTTAAAACATGACTGACAGAATACAGACAATTCTCCTGCACCACTTGTACATACCAGATCATCTACTCAGGAAAGAAAATTTTCACTATGGATCTGTTAACTTTTATAAGAAGCAGACAACTGATATTATGAAACAGTCTCACTCTCCTACTTTCCCTCCTTCTCTGTCTTCCCTTCATGCTTCTCTCGTTCCTCCCTTTCTCTTACAACTACATCATCCATCTATCTGGTGTGGGAGGTCCACTGTCTGTGTGTTGCTTTTCTTGGTTAACAAATAAAGAAACTGCTTTGGCCTGTTGATAGGACACAACTTAGGTAGGTGGGGAGACAGAACTGAATGCTGGGAGAAAGAAGGGCAGAGTCAGAGATGCCATGGATCCGCGGCCAGAGATAGACGTGCTGAAACTTTTGTTGGTAGGCCATGACCTCGTGGTGATATACAAATTAATAGAAATGGGTTAAATAAAGATATACGAGTTAGCCAATAAGGAGTCAGAGCTAGTGGGTCAAGCAGTGATTTAATTAATACAATTTCTGTGTGGTTATTTCGGGGATAAGCTAGCCGGGTGGCTGGGATGAAAAAGTGGCTCTCTCCTTGCAATATCTATCTATCTATCTATCTATCTATCTATCTATCTATCTATCTATCTATATTTCTTTCTTCCATCTTAATCTATCATCTATATATATCATCAGTTATCAACCATATCTTATCATCTCTCATCTATTGGTCATCTATCACCCATCTACTTACCATTTATCAATGCCTATCAATCATGTATCTGTCATCTATGTATCCATCTACCTCTTTATTTTCCTATCAATTTATTCATTTATCATTTACCTATCATCCATCTCTCATCTATTTACCTATAATCAATCAGTCTATCAGTCAATCCATCTATCTAATAACGCCTATTTCTCTATTTTTTTATCATCTATCTATCCATCTATCTGTCATCTCTTATCTATCTGTCATCTCCCTACCATCTGTCCATTCTTTTATATAAACTACAATTTATGCTTGGAATTAGGTAACCAGCATCAGTATTTCGCATATTTCAGTTGCGTCTTCTTTGCTCCTGACATTCTTTTGAGGCAATGGTAATAATGAATCATTTCAAATCTGAAATTCAGTGCTAAAAAGGTGCACAAATGATTTTTCTAAACACACAAATTGAAAACAAAGTAAAATCAGTGAGTTTCCCCCTCGACACATATAGGGGGATCATGGCAGCCTTCCAACTGGGATAAATGGCACCTGTCATTTATGAGGAGATGGCATCTTCAAACCTAGTCTTCAGCTTCCATTAGTAGAGTAATACGTGAAGGAACTTGAATGCTCAGAGAGGAAAAAATATTAAAGAAAAGCAACCACACAATACTGTCAGTTATCCGGTGCACACCTGCACCCGGTGCACAGTGTTCATGAATCATAAACTCAAGTGTCACCTTTGGGCAAAAGTACATTCTATTGTGTAAGGAATATTTATCAAACAAAAAGGGAGACTATGAAAGAGGGGAGCAAGGACCTGAGACTTCTAGAGCATTTCAAATGTCAGCAAAACAAATTAGCACCTCTGACGGGCTCTGAGCTGCAGCAGGGCACGTGTAGGACAGCTTGCTTTTAATTCAAACTGTTATGGGAAAGAATCAATTCTGTAGTGAGGTCAAGGCAGCAGGACATTTTCTTCAAGACTAAAAATAATACTGCCTCCAGGCATGTGGGCTAAATTCCACAGCATCTTGAAACTATTGTTAAAGACTTTAAATATGGATAAAGATGAATGGAAAAGCCGCTGCAAGTTCACATAGCAACTCTGGAAGGAAGAAAATCCTACCTACCCCATGCTAACCCCAATCAGCATTAGAGAGTGAGAAACCAGAGGTCTGAGGGCAGTTTTCTTCTCTGGCATCTCATCAAATTAATATTCACACCAAGTGAAAACTACAAGCTTCCCAAACACCCTTAGGCAGAATGGAAAGGACAAACTGAAAAATAAGCATGCGTCTGGAGCAAATATCATCGTTGTCCTTAGATTTTAGGAAAACAGATCCTTCTGTCCTGAAGCAAATCCCTTACCACCCCAGGCTTTTCCTTTTCATTTTATGTTGGGTGGCATTGCCACCTATAAAAAAAGGAAAAGGACAGAGAGTTACAGGCATCTTGAAAGATGTTGGAGGAGTAATTTGAGGGATACTTTTCAACTTAGAGGTCACGAGTTTAAACTGTGTCTCAGTGGATTACGAACAAAAGAGGTTGGTGGTCTACGAAAAACCCTTGATGGTGACACTCTTGCTCCTTCTTATCCAGTCTGCCACCACAACTGTGTTCCTTCTTTTGCCTCTTCCAGCAACACAAAGGAGAATTGAAATGTCATTGCAAGTATTTTTTTTCCAGACTTTGTGCCAAAGAAATGTGAGATATGAGAAAGGCAAACTCGATTCATCTTGAATGTCCAGTTAGTGTTATTTTCCTGTAATAAGGTTTCCAGATCTTCGTGAGATTTATTGACATTAAAACCAGGCTACCTTATAAGTCAAAGTTATGACTTATCTCATACAAGTTATATTACAAAAGGGAACATTGTTAGGGAAGATTTCATTATAAACTATTGATAATTTCTTGACCTGAACATTAAAAATTTAAGATTTATTATGTTTTCCATTTCCTTTTGTTTTGCTAAATAATTCCTCATGGATGTAAATTTTTTTCATTATTTCATTTCAGTGAATGCAAATTAACATTTTATTTCCCATTATATACCTTTATAATAATATGGTTAGGTGTTTGGTGTAGCTGAAGAAATGCTATATTTTCTTTAATTCACCTATTAATATTCTTGACATGTTATTATTACTGATACTTTTACTTTTGAGTTATTTTATTACTCACACATTCTATTAATAATTAATTAACAAAAAGGGAAACTTCAGACTTGAGGAAGAAAAGCAGTAAAATAGATATTAAAGGAAAACTACAGATGTGTTTGGGAATGCCAACAAAATTCTGGCATCTGAGTAGCCATAGTATGACCCTGCCATAGAAAGTGTGGAGGTCAGAGGGCACAAGAACATAAGGACTTTGAGCAAAACCTAGCTGTGTCCTGTGTCACCGTAGTCAAGAGTACAAGTTGAGGCTGGGATTCTCCGCAGCATATTATTTTAATACATGTCTCTTGATGTAAAGTAGCATCCTGAATACTTTTATCATAAACTGGGTCATTTCCAAACAGCGCAAAGACAGATAATGTCTGTCCTGTGAACAGGTAAAGTAATATGATTAATTTTCATCTTTAAGGAAAATTATTAATAATTATGGGCATTAAAATTGTGATGTCTATTATGACATTTTCAACACAACATCCAAACATACACAAATACATACACACAGAGATACACAAACATAGACACCGCACATACACACACATATACTTACACAGACACGTGTTGACACATACACATTCATACACACATTGACATATACATACAAAAATGAACACACTCACACACTCACACATGCAAACATCTACACATACAGACATATACACACATGCACATACACTAACACAAATACACACACACACACACACACATACCTAACCACCTAACTATACTTTGCTCAGACTGAGCCTTTTTTTACCCTTCTACTTTAATGTCACTTAAGGACAGAGATGTAGAGAGATACATTTATATCTGGTTCGCCTATGAGAGAAAAAGTGATATTTCACCTTTTTCCTTCTCTTGAGCCCCCTTCTGTATACACCAACTCCTCTTCATGTAGTCCTTTCCAATACCATATCCATGATTGTTTAAACCCCGGAGATAACTATTGACATCATGAAGCTCCCTATGCAGTCAAAGGTATACCTGTAGTGGTTCAGTGTGCCTTGGTCAGTGACAAGTCAATACTGAAAACCTAGCTATTCTTTTACAAGAATATTCTCTGCCGGGAACCTTGAGCTGGACATAGAAGCATCATCTCAAAGCACCCTTTTCATATAAATGAGTACACTGAAACAGTCATCAAATCAGATCTGTGGCCATAGGGCCAAAACGAAGTTTGCTTTAAACTCTGAATGCCGCCGTAAGCCTGAGTATAAGATTGTTCCCCCCTGGTATGACTCTGCAGTCAAAATAAACCCAGCTGGGGAAGCCGGGACGATGGTCAGCTGTACTCCTCAGCTGCAAAGTACTAACTACTCAAGCACACACTGCCTAGCCCTTCATTTTCTCCCGTGAGCATCACAACCAGTCCCTGCCAGTCTGTGTGAGGTTTTCAACTGTGCAAACCGTGAAACAGATCAGTTGCAGACCATCCCCTCCCCGTATCCACTTGCTACTTGCCTCTGACCCTTCCTCCTCCGAGAGAAATGTCAATCACCAGAACATAAGTAGGTGTGCAAGGACGTCCACCCCGCGCCATAGACACTCACGGGCTATCACACGAGGGCATCGGACATATTACACACAGCAACACACGTATTCGTATCCTAGGCACACCTGTAGATTTAATAAAACAGCGCCGATCCTCATGGCTTCGCTGACTTCCAGGCTGTACATCAGCTGCGGGAAGCGGGGAGGGCTCTGGTTGTTGGGAGGTAGAACCTCGATGTACACCGTGCAGATGGAGTGCCTGCCAGAGAAAGGGGAACAGCGTTTAATGACCCCCGCTACACCGAAACTTTGAAGACAGGTTTTATTTGTTTGCTGTGTTTATGGGACATGAAAATTTCAACTTTTATAGAAAGCAGTAAAATCATAAAAGAATAGAACAGTAAAAGTTACCCACCAGAATATAATGCCTTTGTGAAATTAGCGTAGTAAAAGAAAAAAGATTTGCCTCCGGTACCTGTTCCTACTACTTAGATAAACAGTGTAAGTTAAAAACAGTGGCTGCAAAAGAGAGCTAATGAATTGACTTGCCTAAACTGATGGTCCAATTTGTAATCCTATTTTTAATAGCAAAGCAAACAAGCAAGCAAACAACATCTTTGTGTAAACACTTGGCAACAAAACTTGTCCTTGAGGCTGGCTCTTTTCCAATTAAACCAGATGAAGGAGTATTGAGTAATTCAACACATAGCTACACACATGAACACTCGTGTGCCTATGTTCATACACCCCTGTACACACACACACACACACACACAGAGAGAGAGAGAGAGAGAGAGAGAGAGAGAGAAAGAAAGAGAGAGAGAATGGGCTGTATTTTAGTTCTGTCTCTAACATCTAACATTAATCACTTACTGTGAATTTTTTTTTTTGGTTGAGTGTCAAATGATAAAGTAATCCTAGGGTGAATAGATGAATTCATGGTAATAAACCTGGAAATGTTTGAAATTCTTAAAAATAAAATGAAAAACTGAAAATTACCTTTAGTTAAAGCCCATAATGAGCGAGAATTTTCATGAAGGGAATGAAGTTACCTCATTATCGTAAGTAACATTTTTACTATTTTCACATAGATTCTTTTAGCATCTTTGAACACTGGATTTGTAGACAATGAAAGCTGAAGAATCAAGGCTTTTGAGGCTGATATGGCTTTATAAAGAGAAATACTGACAAAATAGACAAATGGAACACATGAATTTACCGATCTGGTCCTTTACCAAGAAATGCATGCAGCATTCTATAGGAACATGCTCTGCTTCCTAAAATGTAGGTTTCATGCACTATTTTTTTAAATTATATTTTTAAATTTAAAACGCTTTAATGGTAATTCTTGTTTGGGGACTAGAATTTTCTTATTTTCTTAAAACAGTAAAAACGAACGAACAAACAAACAAAAACCCCTTTGTAATGTATTCCAATGACACGTTTTTCTGGCATTAACTAATCTGTTCTGTTTTTCTTTTCAAATGTTTTAAGTGCAGACTGCAAGCACTGAGACCTGACTGGCAGCTTGTCCATCCATAGTGTACATGGGTACAAATTGCTGAGTTCTCTGCAGACAGATCACACGCACTGTTAAGCATTTCTATTAAACTGGGGTCACTTTAACACATTTATTACTTCTATTTATTGCGATACTGTTCCAAAGTAAACTCATTTTAAGTTAAAATACGTCAGAGTTTTACAGTCAGTTCAAGTGTCTGAAGTCATTTTCTCTGGCTTATATTTTGTGAAAGTGACCTCACAAAAATGAATAAAATTTTTCTTATCGAGATAAATTCAGATGGAGATATAGATACAACGGTGAAATAAATAAAAGAGTCAATAATTAAAATTTAGCCTTTAAGGGTACATTAAGATGAGCTAAGGCAGGAAGTCTCAGTTTGCGGGTCATGACCCCTTTGGCAAACTTCTAGAACCAAAAGTAGATTATGATTCACAACAGTGGCAAAATTACAGTTATGAAGTAGCAATGAAAATAATGCTATGGTTAGGGGGTCAGCACGACACAAGGAACTGTATTAAAGGGTCACAGCATTAGGAAGGTTGAGAATCACTGTGTTAAAGTAATAGCAAATCATTATTCACAAACCTGTAAGTGTTCCTACAGAAGCCAAATAACAGAAGGCTACAGATTTTCTTTCCTGTTGTTTATTTGTTTGTTTTGCTTTATTATTTTTTATTTTGTTTTCAAGACAGGGTTTTTCTGTGTTGCTCTGGCTATCCTGGAACTAGTTCTTTGACCAGGGTGGTCTCATACTCAGAGGTCCGCCTGTCTCTACCTCCTGAGTACATGAACCAAGGCATGTGCCATCATTGACTGGATTTTTTTTAATAGTTACAGTTTTAATGAGTTACATTTCTATGGTCAGAACAGGGGGATTTTCATTCTCAGTTGGGCTTAATGCCCCTCATAATATCCTTGGCAGTACTCACAGGTGAGTCTCAGAAATTGGTAGCTGTTGTTGGTTTTGTTTGGTTTTTGTATTTTGAGACAGCGTAGTTGTTGTTATTTGTTTTTGGGAACAAGTCTGACTACTTTACCCAGGTTGGCCCAGAACTTTCGTCTTGTTGGTCTTAAGTTAATGCGAGTCTGTCTCAACCTCTTGCAGGTTGGTATGATGTTCATAAACCACCATCCCCAGACCAACTGTCAGATTTTGTAGCTGGATAATGCTTTACTGGGTTGTTGTTGCCCCCCAGCACTGCTATGTGACCTTGGGCTGAGACAAAGGACAACTCTGGTCCAGAGTGACTGTCTCTATCCCTGTTCTTTTTCCGGTCCTTTCTATCCATATTTCAGGGATTTGGATTGCTAGTCATGCTCACAATACCTCCTGGGGATTTATCTCTCAGCCTTGTTTTGGGAAGATCATATTTCAGTCCGCACCTCTTTCATCCATCCTATCTTGGCACTCTGCTGTGGCGTGTTTAATAAGTCCCAGTCTTTTTGAGGGTTACTGCTTTTAAAAAGGAGATCTCCTCTTTATCCCTGATGTCAGCAAAGTGTCATAGGAAGCATTCCTAAAATTGAGTGTCTATAGCATTAACTGTAAAACGATGACTTAATGCCGTAATAAACAGCAATCATTCAACAGCACAGTTTAAGCACATAGTAAAACAGGGCAGTTGCTAGGTAAATAATAACATTTTATGTGAGTATTTCATATTCACATTTATAGCCAGCCCTAAATGCATAAAACCAAGCTTCTTTCTATCCATATTTTATTTTGGTAATAGGGCAAGTATGATGCAAATAAGTTTCCATTTCAAAAAATGAAAATCATGGGGCCTTATTATTCTTATTCTGTTGACTAAAAGGTCAAAGCAGAACAAAAGAGGTAATGAATTTGGAAGGCAGTTTTATGACTTAAAAAGTCATGTTGAATCACTGAATTTGACTAGCCTGGTTTATAATTTTAAATAATTGCAGAACAAGTGACTGAATTAAAGTTACTGAGCTCATTAATAACTGCAAATAAAATAAAAGAGCTCTTGAATTCCTTCGGTCTCATAAGAACATATTTTATAAAGTATATTGGAGAGGTTTTCTTTATTTATCTGATGGGTGTGAATATGAGAGGTCCTTGATTTGTTACAAATGATGATGTCTTATTCCAAACACTAAAGTATTTGAAGTCTTGGACTCAGACTATGAAATTCCAGTATTTAATTAGTCATGCCATAACTGAAACTTCATCCATGATGAAGTGTATATGTTTGTGGTAAGGGACAAATAAAATATTAATAAAGAAAAGCCAGAAAGATTAACCTAATGCACTTTGACTTTGGAAACATCATAATTTAAAAAGATAAACTAGCCTAACTTTGTATCACTATGATAATAATTTTACACCATTGTGCTTATGCAATTATATATGGCTACTTGTTCCCATGATAAAGATGACTGGTATTTATATTACTTTCTTTGCAAGATTTTAAACAGAGAAGTCACAGTGGGTTTTCCTTTATCCCCTCCTCACTAGCAACTTGCTACAAAATCTATATTTATAGTTTGCTGCTTATGGATTCCATTTTGCTATCTTGGCAGAAAATACAGACATCTCCAGAAGCTTCTTATTTCTGTCCAACACAAGAGAACAGTTAATAGAAGATGGGAGCGGAGTTTTTCAGAGGCAGCACACAAGGCTTTTCAGACAGAGGAAACATTCATGCAGCCAAAGGAATATACGGAAAACGACAAATGTTGCACAAGCTGAGCGAGGAGAAGTTGCTGACACTGGAGTGTTTGCTCATTATGGACCATCAAGTCTGAACTTCATCTCGATGGTGGGACAGGCAATCCATTGAAAGCAGGCCACTGACATGGCCAGATGTTCCAAGTGTCCTCATGATGCTCTGCCTTCTTCACATACGTCTTTGCCCTTGTTTCCTCCCTGACATTTCCCATCATGCCTGCACCTATGTTTATAGCCCCAGCAAGTCCTTCTTTACCTTACCTTCATTTCCAGTGTTTCTCTCAGAAGACAAGGAATTTTGGGAACCCAGTAATTTTCTTTTCAAAATCGAAGATTCTTTGTCATGTCTCTATTACTATGTACAATTATTTTAAAGAACATATATTCATAGTGGAAAAAATTGTGCTGGAGAACATTATTTATTCATGGGTTAATTAAGTACTAAATTGGATTTCATGACAAAAAATAAGAATATAAGAGGATACCATATCATGTGTCAATCATTTTATGGTCATTTTTATGAGAAGCTGTTGGGATTAGAACTGTTTTCTAATCTGCTGGTAGTAATAATTCATTCCAGGATTTAATACTATTTACTCAACTTAATTGAACTAAATAGATATATTAACTAATGAACACTACTAGAGTCAGTTATGCTTTAATCTTAGGACTTTTTTTTAATCCTTTAACTTATATCTGCAATTTTGCTCTAATCAAAGCCCTGTAACAAAATATAAAAATAAAAAAGACAAAAACCTAAGAATCCAGCAAAGAATTTCTGCTGGTGTCACTGTGAACTTCTGGACACTTCACTAGGACTGGGGCCACAGGAACCTGAAGTCATTTTCTACAGGGCATGGGATTCCATCCCAATTAAATGTACGAACTCAAGTTGCCAAACTGAAAACCAAAATATTATGGAGAATGCCTCCAATTCTGATTTTTGCTGCCAAATGTTTTACTGCTATTACTCAACGACATGTATATTCCACCGTGGCTGGTGGTTATACTCTTATACTGGTAACTTTCAGATATCATCTTCCTTTCAAAGGAAACACCGAGAGCAAAGCCTTCCAAATCCTTAGTTCACTTCCCAGCTCGATTTGAAGGCTTAATTTCCCTACAGAAACAGTGGATATCATTACCCAGTAGCAAACATATTACATCATCCCACAGGTAGAGAGGGCACGTGTGGTGTGGATTTTAGTCTCTGCTGGCCCCAAGTGATGTCTGAAGAGTATGTTGGTGATGTAGTGGTGAGAACTGCTGTCTTCCATGTGATGTCCGATGACAGATTATAAGGCAATCTTTTAGCATCCAACCCATTTAAAAAAAATAAAAAGGAAACTATTGGGTTTTTTTTTTTTTCAAAACAGGGTTTCTCTGTAGCTTTGGAGCCTGTCTTGGAACTAGCTCTTGTAGACCAGGTTGGCCTCGAACTCACAGAGATCCACCTGCCTCTGCTTTCTGAGTGCTGAGATTAAAGATGTGCGCCACCACTGCCCGGCAGGAGCCTGTTGTCATTGGGAGGACAGACACTCCCTTCTGAAGATGGCACTTTGCTTGGGTGCCATTTTACATGAGTAAAATCCTTCTACTGAACTAGCTTGCTTGGGAAGAGTTGAACAATCGACACAACGGAGAGGAACAAGCTGCCAATCCTCTGCTGTGACTCATTAAGTACAGTAGGAACCGCACTCTGAGGTTTGCTCTCTGCATTTTCAGTTGATCATGGTCAACTGTGGTCCCAAGGTAATAAAAGGAAAGAACTGGAATAAAGAATTGCCAAGTTTTAAATTGCATGTTATTCTGAGCAGCACAGTGAAGTCGACTTCTCCCTCTCTTTTCTGTTTTGACAATCAATCAGCCATTCTCCCTATACCCCTGCTGCCCATATAACACATCCTCCCTTACATCCTCCCATTCATGTGACAGCTCTCTGGTGCTGTTTCTGTTTTTTAATGGGCAGCCTATATATGGCGGCTCTGTTGAACTTGTCTATATTGGGTTTCACAGTCTAAGTTGATGAGGATGACTGATCAGATCTTCCTCAAGAAGGCACCAGATCTCATTACAGATGGTTGTGAGCCACCGTGCGGTTGCTGGGAATTGAACTCGGGACCTCTGGAGGAGCAGGCAGTGCTCTTAACTGCTGAGTCATCTCTCCAGCCCTTTTATTTAAAAAGGACTCCTAAGTGTAAGTATGCGATGCTGGCAATGTTGCCCTATTACATTATAAGCCTATAATAATTGGCTTTCATCATGAATGTTACTGTATTACAGTTTCTCATTTATAAAGTATATTAAAAACTTGAGAGCATAGTTAGAAAACAGCATACATGCATACAAACTCAACGCTTCAATAATCCCTTTTGTGAGTGATGGTCTGGTTGCTCACTGGAGGTGAGCCTATTACTTGCAAAGAAGGGAGAACACCGCAATCCTTGGGGTGATTTAAAACTCTTACATCATAGTAACTATAACATATCAACACGTGTAAATCAGGCCAGAATTATTCAGTACAACGATGTCTTCAACTGAGAAAAATAAATATTATAAAATAAACAAGAATATAAAGGCCTTTTATGAACATTTAACTGAAAATAACAAACGGTGATCTTTTTATTATATCCCCTTTTAATATTGATAGTGAACAAATATAATATTTTTTCTAAGACTATGGGACCTAGTGGGAGTCACCTTCTCTCTGCAGGCGGGGCGTTGTCCGAAGCCTGCACTGTCAGTGCGTATGTCTGTCCCACAATCAGCTCCACTCCTGGTGCAATGCTCACCAGCCCCGTGGTCCTGTTGATGACGAAGTCTCCCTGGGCGCCCACCAGGATTTCATAAGAGATCTCCCCATTAGAGCCTTCATCAGCGTCTACTGCCGTCAGCTGGGATCACAAAAGCACAACACAAACCCGGTTAGGATTCAGCCTCTCACTGCTGTGTCACTTCCCCAAACACAAGGAGCTGATTTCAAAGCGAAGATGCTATAGAGTGTGTTTGGTGTGCAAATGTGTCCACTGCTTTTGTGTTTTGCTGTGACACCAAGTCACTGCAGGAACCTGGATTGTTGTTCTGTCCCTTGGGACCGTGTTCAGAACAATTTTTCAATATTGAAGACTGTCTTTATTCTAATTTAATAAAAGGATAAAGGGAGGAAAGCCTTAACATAAAATTTAAGAAGTTATTCTTTTATGTTATCTCTCGCTCTTTACACATGAACACACATCGCTATGGTCTGAGACCAGGACAAAATAAAAGGGCAAAGTCTGCTTTATTTCCACTGTGCTGCTGCTGATTGGTTTTCCCATGCAGTGTTCTCCTGCCTCAGAACCTCTACCCACTGGCTTCTGAAGGACTGATAAAGCCCACACTACAAAAACCATTTTCTTGTAAGAAAAGAGAATTGTTTTCAGAGCTACAGAGACAGTGGCACAGAAGCACCTGTAAGACACGCAAATTCAAAATCACTCCCAGACAACTGGTGCTTATTGCTTACAAGAGGAGAACGACCATTTTTAATCCGATAAACCTACAGTTGTTTATTATATTAAACAAGGTTCCTCCACTTCTTGACAGATGTACATTTACAAAGGAGAGAAGGGATAACCCTGGCAGGAGATGTTACTAATATGCACTTCATAGGCTTTCCAACAATCCTGTTTTCACCCAGAGCAGTCTATGAAGGGAATAAGAATATGACCTCCTTTTACCCGGGAAGAAAAACAAATTTGTCTTTTGGACATGGATAGCACATTCCTTTGACCAGCCATTGTGCCTCTTCTCTCTTCCCTTTTCCACATGCTCTGCCAGTATCTGTCACTCTGAAGTCCCAGATCTTCAACATTTAATAGCACCAGGAAATGCAAACAAATTCTTCACATGCCCATTTACAGCTGCCTAAGGAGACCTGCGGCACATGTTGTAATTCTGATTCTATTTTATAAGGGACTGGAGAGAAGGCTCAGTGCTTAAGAGCAGTTGCCACTCTTCCAGGAAACCTGGGTTCAAGTCACAGCACCCACGTGATGGAGAGCCACCAGGTATAATTCTAGTGCCGGGGATCTGGTGCATGTAGCAGGCATGCAAATGGTGGACATACAGCATGAAAGGAAAACACTCATACACATAAAAAATCTATTTTATAACTGTGGTGTGTGTGTGTGTGTGTGTGTGTGTGTGTGTGTGTGTGTGTGTGTGTGTGTGAGAGAGAGAGAGAGAGAGAGAGAGAGAGAGAGAGAGAAACAGAGGGAGACAGAGAGAGACAGAGAGAGAAACAGAGACAGAGAGTAGTGTGTAGATCAGAGGACAACTTTCAGTAATTCGTTTTCTCCTTCTATCTCATGGGTTCCAGAATAAAATCCAGGCTGTCAGGCTTGACTGAGAGTACCTTTACCCACACTGGTCCATCCATCTTGCCAGCCCTCTCACTGTATTTTTAATTATTCACTGCACTTGGAGTGGTGATGGGCACAGAAATAGCAGCAACAAAAATAGCGAAGACAAAAGGAAAGTTAGAGACCGGCATTAAGGATGCTTCATCCAGAGATTGGTATTTTAGGTAGACAGATGTGGCTGCCACAGGGAAGATATTTTCTGAAATGATTCTGGGACTTACGGAGGCAAAGGAGAAGGGAGCTATTTGTAGAAGCAGTCAAGTGAACGATGTGCATTAGGAAAGACCTGGTCCTGTCATCCAGAGTCGTGATCTTCGGCGTGAGGATAAAATTAGAGCATTAGAGGGTGGGGACTAAGGAGGAAATATCAGTTTTGATTATAGTAAATCACTTACACAAAATGTCTTAGGAAATCTTAATTAAAACTTAGCTCAAAGTGGATTCAATATTAACATTTTTCTAGGGAATTAAATTGGCTAAAGAGATTTAATGATAAATGGCAGGGCCTCCATTTATGAAGAGGAGCTGGGAGTGTGCTCTGGGGACACAGGGATTATGGATGGTCTTATTTAACATTTTTATAAATGAGGTTGGAAGGGAGGCACGGAGAGATGATAATTAAATTGGGGATGGCACCCATGTGGGAGGAGCTATAAATATCAAACAGGGCTACAGAACACAGGTGGTAAGAAGTCACCTAAATCTGCAGCCAGCTTACCACAGAAGAGCTAACCTACTCTGCCAACACCGCAACTAACCCCTCAGAAGCTCACCATCTGAGGAAAGTCTAACAAGTGAACAGACGGGATGGATCTATGTTTAAGAGACTTAAAAAAGAGTTTCAAATAATCTTGTCCTTCTATTTCCTTAGTTTCAAGTTGTAATAACTCAGAACTGACATCATTTTTGCACATTAGCAAACCTTTTTTTTTGAAGGGATTATCGGTAGTTTAGGGTTAGATTGGTCTGACTTCCCCCAGAGTATTAGTATTGAACTACCTCTCTGAGTGCCCAATCAATAGCAACATTCTCCAGCATAAAACTGAAAACCCAACACATTTCTTTTAAATTCTCGGCAAAGGTTTGCTGTGGGGCTCTGCACTGTGGGGTTGGGCAGAAGTAGAGATGGCCCCTTGACAGCTCAGGTGCTCATTGCCATGACAACATAAGTGACTTCTGTTCAAAGTCATTAGGTGAGGGTGCGTGAAACACATTTTTATTATGGGGTGGGGAGAGCTGCCTCATAAATGAGAAGAGGATGCGGAGAAGCCTGAGTATAGGAAGACACTAGTGTAAGATCTCTGATGGAATGAAAGCCAAACCTGGTATTTTAATACTTGAAATAAATATAACATCTTCATGAGAAATTTGGAATGATTTATTTCTTTTCCATATTGAATTACAGTTCTTTCAATGAAGTTTAAGCATGCCCTCTCATAATTCTGTCCTGCTATTTTTAAAATCTATGTATTCCAGGGGTCCCCAGCTTGATTTGAGCATTGATGCTATGCTTTCCTGGGCATCCTGGGTTAGCTATAATTAGAGACTCTGTTTTTCAGTGAGTAGTTTCTCAGTCCCCAATCCATTGCTGACACTTGGCTCCTCTAAGGCGCTGTACTGAGGCTGAAGCCTGGAGTTGGGGATATTTCTGCTGGTCCTGTCCACCCTGAGCTGAGACAAGCTTCCACATAGAGAAAGTCGTTCCCGGAATTAAAGCAAATGTCATTGACTGATACTGATGGCCTCTTAACACTTGTGTCCAAGGTTGAATGGTACTGGAATGTCTTGACACATGAATCAAAACTCTACCTTCAAGAAAGCTAATTGAATTAGAGAGTATGCCACTTTATGAATAACAATTCTAAATTATATAGGAAAAGAGTTTTGTAACTGGTTATGAGGCACACGATCGTGAGTTAGTCATATCTCTTCTTGGTTTATGCTGGGCACATCCCTCTTACCCCATAATGTGTTTGGCATCCCTGCTCCCTAAACATGCACTATGCATACACATGCCTCTCCAAACAAGCACCCAGCAACTTCAGATCCCTGACTTGATAGTACTTTCCTCATGTCCTAATAGGATACTAGAAGAGCAAATCTGGTTTGAGCTGGTTTTAGGCATAGGGAAAATTAGAAAAAGCTGTGTCCTCCACTGGATTTTATTTTATCTCTATGTATAATTTGGTATCCATATAATTAAAATTATATGCATCATTTGAAAGAACAAGGTTAACAGATAAATAACTTAACACGCCAATCAAGATGGAGAAGCATCCAAACTCTGCCCTTGGTAACCTGAATCGTAGAAGTGGAGGCTTCAAACAATTATCCTGGGCCTGATGATCTTCACTTAGGTTGCTGTTTGTTTCCTTTCATTATACGCTGGTCTTTTCTATAGTTTTGCATTCAATAAAGTTTCTTTTCTAATTTTTTTCAAACGTATGAGGGCTTTTGTTTCAGTTCCTTGAGCAAGAAGCTAAAAACTTACCAACACCCAACTGTGACCCAACAGTCCATAACAGTCACGTCCTTGGCTCATGCCAGGACTTTTCTGTAGAATGATTGTGCCTTGATATCTTGGTATGTGGTAAATGTGATCTAAAAGTTATTGAATTGTCTATGGCTACTTCATCTACTCATTGTAATGATCCGAGTTCTTAATATGAAAATAGTAGCATTGTTTTTACCGAAACATTGTAAGATACTTAGTGAGTGATGAAAAGCGAATGATACTTTTTCTTTGTACTGATTTTTATATTTTAAAATTATATTTATATAAATTTGAAACTGAATACATTTGAAAGTGCCTTAATTCTTATAATATATGTTAATATTCTATTTATCATCTAAGTTGACTTTTTGAAGGAGCGGTACAGAAAATAATAGAGCCATTTTGGTAAAATTTGGAGGCATTTAAAACAGTATTTGTCCATTAAATGTTCAATTGTGGTTCTTCTTACAATAAAGAGAAATTTACCAAATGAATTATAAATGGATGACATCCTAAACCTGTGTTCAATAATTCTGGAAAATGTTCCATTATTTCATGGGAAGAGAGTTATAAAAGTATGCTACCTAAAGCCACATGATAGTGATGATAACAGAATTAGATTCCAAATTTGATTAAGAGAGAGAGAGTCATAATCTAGAGGGAGCATTCATTTCAGGGTGAGTGAGGGATATGGCAAAGCTCCAAGGCAATGCAGAAGGAGCTACATGAAAGCCGAAATACGAAAGTTTATAAATGATGCTGGGTGCTGTGCTTGGGGAATTTATTGTCAGATGGGGAAAAAAACTGCAAAAAGAAACAAATAAAATTCATGTTGACATCTTGTAGTGTCTAAATTTTAAAATGAAGGCAATAGATGGTTAACAGGTGATTGGGTAGATACAGCGCTGCTTAGGCGAAGATTAGATTCCACACAGTCTCTGAAGGATGCAGCTATGAGAGGAGGGGACGGATAAGAAAATGAGTAAAGTGCCGTCCT